GGCACAAATGGTCAAATAAAAGAAATGAGTGTAAATTACAGGGAAACAGATGGCAACTCAAACAGAAAAAGAAATTTTTAACAGAGTTGTCAAAAAATGAAAATGGCTGCCTCAAATGGGAAATTTTTATGAATTTGCCAATGCTAAAGGTATTCAAGCAAAATCTGTACTGCTGCTTAATTTGATGTTATGGAGAAGGTTCAAACATTGAATTCCGGGTAAAAAGAATGTTAAACTAACTCTTAGCATTCTAACAAACTCTCAAGCAGGGTCACTCATGCTCATTTGCTCAAGTGCCCTGAGACTTTTTCCTACTGTCTTAGAGACCATGACAAAGGTCCTTTGGGCTTTGGGCTTCATCTGGGAAAGATGAAATACTCTCAGTCACATCAATGCCAGCAGATTTATCGACTCCATGCTCTGCTCTGAACAGCATAATTCCATGTCTCTTGTGAAATCTTCCATTTATTTTCTAATTAAGGAATATTCCATAAATGAACTAGTGCAGTACCCATAGTTTAGCAATGCTTGGATTATTCTTTTTAAGTAGCGTAAGTAGATATCAATTCCCATATGAGCTGTTCATTGCACTTGGTGCCTCTGGAAAATGACTGTTGGTCACATATTGAAAGACAGGAATTGATAGTAGGAGAATGTACTTTGTTTTATGTAGAACAAATTGTCTGAGATTAAAAAAATGTGTTCTCGTTGATTCTAATTGATGCCATTTGCTTCTGTGACCGTGCTGGCTTTTAGTTGATTGTTAAATATAGGAGTAAGAGCAGGAGTGACTCCATGACAAGCTGAATTTCCTGGAATAGGCGTAAGTTTCAGTTTCCCCGAAACCGAATTGCGGACCACAACTGGCGCCGGAGCGAAAATTGAAAATCCCGGGGCTTGGAGCCAACCAATTGGAAGTCAAAACAATCAGCCACTTTCAAAAGAATCAATGGACTAAGGGGGGAGGGGGGATGGTGTGCCCAGCGTGTCGTGTGGAACCTGCGTGTTGTGTGCCACCGGTGTGTCGTGTGCAAAAAAAAGTATAAAAGCTTCACTTTTACCCCAGGGCGGGGTCCTAGCCCTTAGAAGAGGCCACTGCATTGGTGCTCTGGGACTTGGACCCTAGCTCGAGCTAGCCAATAAACTCCTTTGCCATTTGCAGCCTCAGTGACTCTGTCTGTCTGTTCCTGGGGCTGAGGGGAACCGGATCTGACAATATAAGCTCAGTAAATTTGAAGGTCAGATTCACCCAAATAGTATACTTGAACATGACCCAAGCTCCTTGTTCTCTTCTTCACTCATTTCTTTCTGTTTCACATCTCTTCCTTTCTTTTCTTTCTGTTCCATTATTCTCTTTTCTCCCTTTTACAAGTTAACTCTTTATACTAAGAAAAAACATAAGAAACTTACTTCTTCTTCCATAGCATTCCACTTCTGGCTCATTTTCTCCTTCACGATCCATGTTGTAGGAACCAAAGCTCTTGATCCCCTGAAGATTCACTGAAAAATCACTGACATGAAGCAGATTGATTAATTGGACAAAAAGGCAAATTTTATTTAACGTGTATACACAGGAACCTTTGGAATGAAAACTCCTCAATGAAGTATAGAGGTTTTTTTTTTATTATTTCAGCATATTATGGGGGTACAGATGTTTAGGTTACGTATGTTGCCCTTGCCCCCTCCCCAAGTCAGAGCTTCAAGAGTGTCCATCCCCCAGATGGTGCGCATCGTGCTCGTTATGTATGTATATACCCATCCCCTCCTCCCCCCTCCCACCTACCCGACACTCAATAAATGTTATTCTTATATGTGCACTTAGGTGTTGATCAGTGAAACCAATTTGCTGGTGAGTAAAAAATAAGGTACAGAGGTTTTTAAAAAATGGGGGCTTGGATTGTAGCCAAACAGATTTTGGTAGAAAGACAGGTAATGGGAAAGAGAAAGGAAGCTTGCCTACTAAAGGTGGTCTAGTTATGCATATAAAGTCTCAGAGGTAGCCTCCAGAGGGAGAGACTAGATGGCAAATGTTTCTTTTCAGATGATAAAAGGTGTCAGACTCTCAGTTAATCTTTCTTAGATGGGATAAGGAAAGACCTGGCTGCATTAATGGAGATTTTCTACAGATGCAAATTTCCTACAAAAGACAGCTGTGAGATCCATGGCAGCCATCTCAACTATGTCAAAGAAATATGTTTGGGGGGAAAAATATTTCTAATTTCCTTCCATGTTATCCTCTTTACATTTTCTTCTAGCTTTTTCTATAGTGGATTTTATTTCCTTCCTTTATACCTTCCTTCCTTGAACATGTAACAGAGGTAAAGATCTGAAAAAGGGCAACAAAATATCTTAACAAATCGTCTCTTTAAAACTCACCACCCTTTAGAGGATTTAAAACCTGAATTTCTTCTTGAGGCCAGTAATCAAAAGGGCAGAACAATGTTCTTTGCTGTTTGTTTTCTAGTATCTAAAACCACAGGAGATGGCTCAACAGAATTGTCCAGACAAGGGTCACAAGATAGCCCTCACAAGAGATAAGATCAACCAAAACCACCAATTATAGTTAAACAACAATAGCCAGAAGCCACGACTTGCCACACTGGTCAAATAGACTCAAGTCTAATTGCTGAAACCCCCTCCCCTTTAAAAAGGCCTGTGTTTTTACTTAAAGACAGGAAGGCAGTCATTAGAGACACTGGTCTACCACCCTCCTCATTTGTCAGCAAATAAATAAACTTCTCTTTCCTTTTCCTCAAACCACTTGTCCTCATTCTTCATTCTCACTATTCTGCCTCAGGGACAAGTACCAAACTTTCAGTTACAAACACTTATTAATACCTTTAGGTGTTTAAGGCACAAAGAGAATTAAAACATAGCTTCTTTTCTCAAGTAGCTCACAGTACACTTTCATTTTTTCTGTTTCCCCACCGGCCTTACAGGAAATGCTAACGTGAATTCCTCAAGTTGAGATGAAAGGACACTAACTTACAACATGAAAATATATAAAAGTATAAAACTTACTGTAAAGGTAAAAACATAGTCAAATTCAGAGTATTCTAATACTGTAACAGTGGTACATAAATCACTTTGTACTCTAGTATAAAGGTTAAGATAAATCATTAAAAATAACTGTAGTTACACTATTTTATTAATCAATATGAAATATAAAAAGAAGCAAATCCTGACATCAAAACAGAATGGAGAGGGAGTAAAACATATCATTTTGTATGAGATTGAAGATAATTTGTTATCAGTTCAAAATAGGCTGTTATATAACTATATGATGTTTTCTGTAAGTCCCATGTTAAAAATAAAGCAAAAACTTATAGTAGATATAAAAAGATATTGAGAAAGAAATCAAAGCAAACAATCAACAAAATAAAAAGGCAACCTTCAAAATGGAAGAAAATGTTTTCAAACCATATATCTGATAAAGGAAGGGTTAATATCCAAAATATATAAGAGACTCATAAAATTCAACTGCAAAAAATCCAAGAAACCCAATTAAAAAATGGACAGAGGACCTGATTAGACAGTTTTCCAAGAAGACATACAAATGACCAATATGTATATCAAAAGGTGCCCTATAGTCCCCTAATCATCAGGGAATGCAAATCGAAACCACAGTGAGATATCACCTAACTCCAGTCAGAATGGCTTTTATCAAGAAGTCCCAAAACAACAGGTGCTGGTGTGGATGTGGAGAGCAAGGAACACTTATACACTGTTGGTAGGACTGCAAACTAGTACATCTACAGAAAGTAGTATACAGATACCTCAAAGAACTAAAAGTAGACCTACCATTTGATGCAGTAATCCCACTATTGGGTATTTAAAACGGAAAAAAAAGTAATTTTATCAAAAAGATATGTGCAGGTGAATGTTTATTGCAGCACAATTCTCAATTGCAAAGATGTGCAATCAATCCAAGTGCCCATCAATACAAAAGAGAATTAGTAAAATGTGGTATATGTATACCATGGAGTACTACTCAGCCATTAAAAAAAATGGAGAACTAATACCTTTTGTAACAACCTGGATGGAACTGGAGACCATTCTTCTAAGTGAAGTATCACAAGAATGGAAAAACAAACACCACATGTACTCACTACTAAATTGGAACTAACTGATCAATACTCATGCACATATGGCAGTAAAACTCAACAGAAATCAAACAGGTGGCAGGGGGATGAGGGCATGGGTAGATTCACACCTAACAGGTACAATGCACACTTATCTGGGTGATGGGCATATTTATAACCTTGAATCAAACTGTACAAAAGTAATCCATGTAACTGAAACATTTGTACCCCTGTAATCTGAATTTATTCATTTATTTATTTATTTATTTATTATTTAAGGGTATTATGAGAGTACAAACATTTTGGTTGCATTTTATGTCTTTGCCTCACCCAAGACGAGGCTTAGAGGCATGCCCTTCCCCCCTACAATGCTCACTGTGTCCTTCAGTTGTGGGTTTACTCCCCAAACCCCCTAATCCCTGCAGAATATTACTGCCATGTGAGCACCATAGTGTAATCTGAATTTACAAATAAAAAATAAAAATAACAAAATGGATTGGGCCAGGTCTGGTTTCATTTTTGATCTTCTTTCCTACAATATATTGAGATACCAGGGTGAGGAAGAAAAGGCAATTGTTCTTTTCAGTGGGTCTGTCTGGTTTTATGCAGATAGAGAGGGGAAAGCCCCTTACAAAGCCTGTTTATCTCTAAGGATCTTTAATTCAAAATAGTCTTTCTATTAATACCAAGGAATCATATTTTGGGGTGAAATTCCTTGAGCTCCTTCAGAGTCAAACCCCAAATTGTCTGTCTATATTATCTGTTATGCTAATTACAATCAGAAAATCTTTTTTTTTAGGTAAAAACTAACCATAAATGGAATGATCCAAAGGTATAAGTCATTCAAATTCTTTAAAAAATACCATGCTGGCCAGCAGCCCCGTGCGCAGCTCCCCCTCCCCCTCCCCCTCCGATGTGGCTCAAGCTTGAAGCGCGCAGGGACTGAGACACCATAGACCCGCGACCTGGAGCACCTCAGAGGCGGTGAATAATAGCTCTTCAAGTCTGCAATAACAAATGGCCTCCAATAAAACTACATTGCAAAAAATGGGAAAAAAACAGAATGGGAAGAGTAAAAAGGTTGAAGAGGCAGAGCCTGAAGAATTTGTGGTGGAAAAAGTATTGGATCGACGTGTAGTAAATGGGAAAGTGGAATATTTCCTGAAGTGGAAAGGATTTACAGATGCTGACAATACTTGGGAACCTGAAGAAAATTTGGATTGTCCAGAGTTAATTGAAGCATTTCTTAATTCTCAAAAAGCTGGTAAAGAAAAAGATGGTACAAAAAGAAAATCTTTATCTGACAGTGAATCTGATGATAGCAAATCAAAGAAGAAAAGAGATGCTGCTGACAAACCAAGAGGCTTTGCCAGAGGTCTTGATCCTGAAAGAATAATTGGTGCCACAGATAGCAGTGGAGAATTAATGTTTCTTATGAAATGGAAAGATTCAGATGAGGCAGATTTGGTGCTGGCAAAAGAGGCAAATATGAAGTGTCCTCAAATTGTAATTGCTTTTTATGAAGAGAGCCTAACTTGGCATTCTTGTCCAGAAGATGAAGCTCAGTAATTGTTTGCAGTGCTTTTTATATATATTTATATATATATATAAAATCTGGGTCTCGGTTTTTGATTTACTAGTGTGAAGAAATAACTACATCTAATAAATCAAGTTTGATACAAAAAAAATACCATGCTATTTTTTATAAGAAAAAAATGATAACATCAAATATTTTATGGTCTATTCCATATTTGTGTAGGACAATTATTTTTTGTATACAAAATCTATTCCTATAGAAATCAGTCACTGTAGTGTGAAAAGTTCTCACTATTAGTTAGGAAATCAGGTTCCAGCTGTGCTCTGACATTAATATAAGTGACCTTTGACTGATTATCTTAACTCTGTGACTGGTGCCTTGTAAAATGATGGAAATGGGCAAGACCTGTTTTTTGTTTGTTTGTGTTTTGTTTTTGTTTTTTCACCCCTAGCTGAATCACCTAGAAAGCTTTTACAACTTGCTATGCTGGGCCTCACTCCACATCAATAAAATCAAAACATCTGGTGGTGGGTTGTCAGTATTCTGTCTTAAAAGCCTTCCAGCTTGTGCTATTAAGCAGCCATGGCTGAGAATTACTAGGTGACTCAAACAAATAGATGCAGATGGATGAGATTCTGTTCATTACTAACAATATATAATTCTATGAACAACCCAACTACATCTTGTACCATTTCTTTTGTCAGGATGAATTGATTGAGTGCTTATTATAAAATGGCACTGTGCCCTACAGGGAAGACACGAAGATAAACTTTTCCTATTCTCCAGGTTAACTTACTGAGGAAACTTGTGAATTCCTCTTAGCATGGTGGGTGAAGCCTATGAATGTACCTTTTTCACTGAACTGTATTAGGCAAGATGCTAGAAGTCATTAGCACCTAAATAGCCACTTTATATAATTGCTCTGCTGTCAAAAGACAGGAGAGAGAAAATATTCCTTCTTCATATCTTCGCATGTCAATTTTTAAACTAAACTTAATTATTGACTTTTGTGCTGCATTTTCATCAGTGAGAAATTTATATCCCTTATTCACAATAATGTGAAAAGTTTGACCCAAAACATTGTTTTGACCTGGAAGGTATTTAGAAGTCATTGATCCAATTCTCCCATCAATGAACAGATTAGTAAAGTGATTCGAGTGATTTGCTCACCATCATACTTATGGCTCACTATTTTTATTGACAGAGCTCAGGTGTTCTTTTCTCAGTTCAGTGATCATCCTATTAGAGTCACCGTTTCATCCATCAGGACTTTGAGGTACGCAATATATCATTTGTTTAACTATTAGAAGATGTGGAATGGTAAGTTATGTTTGTTTGATGGCAATCATGATATTCTTTGTTGTAATCATAATACACATAAGATAATTCAACATTGTTTGAAAAACCACTTCTTTTGAGACATTCATTTGACCTATAATTTTACATAGAGTAACATTTTAAATGGACTAACATTTTAAATCAAAGAGAAAATATTACAGATAATTATAGTCCCCATGACTTTTCTTTGTTAGACGTTTTATTTGATCTCACTAAGTTGGTAATAAAAATTCTACTTCATTTTATGCAAATATATGTTGAAATGTGACTAATTATTATTCATAGTCACAAAAGTAAATGTTCTAAATTTGCACTGCTTTTTCTTTTGAGATGTCTTGAGTTTTATAGGCATAATCTTATTGCAGGAGGTTAAGAGTTAGAAAAACAAGAATTTTATTTGTTTTTATTTCGTATACTCCAAATCACTGAGGAAGATAATTTTGTAGTGGAGAACTCTAGGTTTTCATGTTTTGCCTGTTAAAGTAACTTACCTCTTACGACCAGTGTTAACTGACCTGGGAGATGTGGAAAAACCAGCACAGGAGAATGAAAAGGTGAAACTGGAAACGTAAGAAGAAAATAGTGATTGGGAACTTAGAATTGGCCATTATTTTTAACAGTGTGAAATCACTGGTGACTTTTAAAGATGCAGGAAACACTACCCCAAAGTATGGCTCCTTGGCATTTGAAAAAAAAAAAAAAAACAGGAAAAGCAGGACGGTTTCTCTGACCTTCTCCTGCTGTTCTCTGAAGCAGGTCATGAAACCTAGGAAGATCACACTCTGACCTTGAAGGAGCTCAGGAAATTTCACGCCAAAATATGGGTCCTTGGTATAAAGAGTATTTTGAATTAAAGGCCCCTTAGAGATTAACAGGCCTTGGAAGGGGCTTTCCCAGTAACTGCATAAAACCAGATAGACCCATCAAAAGGAATAATTGCCTTTCCTTCCCCTCCCTGTTATCTCAATATATTACAGGAAAGAAGATCAAGAATGCAACCAGACCTGGTCAAACCAATTTTAAAGATGATACCTGTCTCTCTGGTTAATTTAATTTCCAAAGAGAATCAGTTACAAGTCAATCTCCTTCCCCATCCCCATCCATCCATTCTTCCAAGTATTTATTCACCCTCCCTAGAAACCATTTATTGCCCCTAAACAGAATTACCTACGTTCCTTATCTTCCCCTGCCTCTAAAATGAGGATACATAAACTTCTGGACTCCACTGGGATGTTGGGTAATCACTTTGTGATTCTCCCTGTGCACACAGTAAATAAATTAATAATCTTTTCTCTTAATAATCTGCCTTATTGTGAGTTGATCCTTTCAGCAAACCTTCCAGCGGTAAAGGGGAGGTTTTCCTTCCCCCCCAGTTTGGCATAGCCTAAAGGATTTTCAAAGCCACTCTTTTTTCCTGGAAGCCACAATAAGGGGAACGTAGACTCTAACCAGCTGGCCAAATGGTAAGACCCCTTACCAGCAATCTCCTGGTTTCCCTCTGTCTCTCTGTGGGCACCGGTCGAGCAGTCAGTAAAAATCATTGTCTCTTGCCTTTTCAAGTTTAAGATCCATGAAAGAAAATGTTTTGTGTGAGACTAATCTGGGTATAGTGACCCTGGTATATTTTTTGGTACTTTGTGATATGAATATTGTTATTGTCTGACTTCTCTCCTCTCAGAAATAGCCTTTTTTTGTTGCTGTCTTTCTGTGTCATTCTGTCATAAAGAGCGTTACCATAGGGTAGAACATTGGGCCAGAACCCCTGTAAGCCAGTTATTCCAGCCAGCCCTGCAGGCCAGCCAGTCACACAGTTCTGACGAGACCGGCATCTGTTAAGACAAACTTTGCTGCAGGTACCCAAAAGAAAAAAAAAATGAAGTTCCCCTCTTGCTTTGTTTCATGTCCCTGAGAGTTTGTCTTGTGACCGAGTGTGAATTTTCCTTCTCAGTCTCTGCCATCTGAGGGGCTTGGGGGATTCTTTTTTGGGATCAGGCAACCAGTCTAAAAAGATTGGGAGTCCAAGACACGTAACAAGCACGTTCTTTATACCCAACATGTCAGGCTGTAGAGGAGTTTTTGTCTTAAAAGTTTCCATCCTCCTTGTCTATCTTAAGTATATTTCCAAGAATGAATTTTAATCATGGGAACTGCCTCCTCTATGCCCTCTCTTGAAATACCTCTTGCTTCCAAACCTGGAAAATTACCACCTAGGCTTTCTATGAAGAGGTTTATTGGATTAAGTCACTTTTGGAATAAATATACTATTGAGAATTCTAATTATTAATCGCCAAAAGATGAATCCTTTAAAAGACTTCTAGATTTTTTAAAAAATAAATTTTAGAGATCTCTTATTCTAAACACTTACCTTATTTCTATTAATAGGGGAATTAGATTAAATAAAGACATCTAATGTTGTAACTATCCTTAAAAATTCTCTTGACAAAATTAAAGAGCAAAATCTGGCCTAAAAGATAAAGACCATTGTGCACTGCCCCAATGAGAACAACAATAAAAGCCAGTTCACTCTGTAGCTAAAGTTCTCTGCTTGTATCTCAACAGCCTAGACTTGATTCCCAGGCAGGGAATGCCTATTCTGGCTTGATATTTGTGTAACTTTTGTCATTTATTGATTCTTTTCTCTTCTGTGCACAGCTTTTGATTTCCTATATTCTGTGGAGGCATACAGGGCTTTTAGACATTATGCATAAATGGTCAGCTAAAAACCTGGGACCCTATAAATATGGCTGGACAAAAATTGTGGGTTACACCTCATTCATGGCTAGCAAGATTTTCCTTTCTTTGAGCCGTACTGTGGCTTTTCTGGATCTGATAGAAACCGTTCTTCACCTCTTTGAAGACACCTCTTGCTTCTTTGATTAAGTTATACTTCGGTTATACCTAAGTGAAACCAAGGTTTATTGGTTTCACTTAAAAGGGTATTTAGTTAAAAAGTTCAAAGCTGAAATGTCAGCTGTTTGTCCTGGCTAAAGTCTGCTCCATTCATCTTCACTCCTCCCTACTCCTTCCTCTTCGCTGATCATGGAGTTTTGGCCAATCAAAGGCAGCCAACTGTTCAAACTCTGTTTTAGTAAGGCAAACAAGCTGTAACCAATCCAGCTGTTCCCATACCTCACTTCCATTTTTTTGTACATCACTCTCTTTTCTGTCCATGAGTCTTCTTCAACCACACAGCAGCTCTGGAATCCCTCTAAACCTGTTCTGGGTCAGCTGTTCGATTTGTGATTCATTCTTTGCTCAATTAAACTCTGTTAAATTTAATTTGTCAAATTAAATTGACAAATAGAGGTCTGAAATAGAGGTCCCAGAGACCTCCGGGAACACTGAGTGAACTAGCAAGATACATGCTGGGCCACGGTGGCCATTGCTCTCTCATAGCAACTGGGGATTGTGGGTAAGTTCTCCCCCAGTTTCCAAAGCCCCACAGATTTGTGTTTTGAGCTATGTTGGTTTGAGGAAACTTTTTATCCTAACTGGGTTCAGAAGTCATGACAGAAACTGAACTTGGTCTGGGATCAGATTGGATCTGATAATTAATTGGCTTAGATCCAGTTAGAGGCCTCAAATCTCTGACCAGGCCAGGCAGAAACTAATAGTAAATGGCAATACTACAAGGGGTGTGAACTCCAGCTTTCAGGAATTCGTAGAGATTTCTGTGTTCCTTTGTTTCTTTTTCCTGTGTGCTTGTGTGAGGAAAGATCATTGCCTAAGTTGATTGTAGAGATCTGAGATCCAAAGCCAAGATTCAAGGTAAAAATAGGATCCTTAGTT